AAAGAAGATGCACCCACTGTCGAAAAAAAGCATCCGCTGTCAGAACGAAGTCTTTCAATGTCGAAACAAAGACTTGCCCCCGCTGGGGTACGTAGAACAAAGAAGCACTGCTGAAAGAAAGGCCCGCTGTCAGAAAAAGGATTAACGATGTCACAAAAAGGGGGTCCCACGTGGTAATAAGGATGAGACCAACCTTACTGCTGACAGCCTGTGTTGCTAGTCACAGCTGCAGTTGCAGCCATGCCTTGTGCAGCAGCACCGAAGGCAACGTCAACTCCGATGTCCAACCTTTTTGCCTGCCGAGATGCCAAAGCCTTCACTCGGATCTGCAAGATGCGAATCTGTTCCTTGGGACTCAGCACGTAGGATTGCCAGGCTCAGGATTGTATGGCCTTTGCAAAACCAGAAGCGGAGGCGCCCTCTCGAAGAGCCCAAAACACACGGAGAAAAACCTTTCGCACCAAAACCCTATTCTAAACCACGAAAACTTAAGTTCGAAACCCTGACTCTACCTTAACCTGGCACATCATGTCCGAAAGGCCTAAGAATGGCTGGGATTTTGGAAGATATGAAGTCAATGCCCTGAATGATCGTCGGTAGCCGGATAATGCATCAGGAAGAATAGGACTTGGGTCAAAAACATGCGGCGTCGTACTGTAAACGTCATGGCTCAACCCTAAACCTTGCCTCAATTTTTGCCTTTCCGAGTTTCGGCACGTTCGAAGTAGCACAGAGGCTTAAAATTCAGTTGCAGAGTGTGGAAGGCAGAAGCATGAGTAAAACATCATTCCTGCGAGTTTGTAATTAGTACCAATATCGGTGTACCATGACATACCGCAAAGCCCAGCCCAATTCTAATGATTACGCCCCTACATTAGTTTGGCCCAACCTCCAAACAATTACCCTACACATCGGTGAGATAATGCAGCCAGGGGGGCGAATCCCTGAATAGACTTTGAGAAGCTCTCATTTCAGGGGCCGGACACCGCGTCCCAAGCTCTTGGGTTTAGGGGTTAGGTGCTGACATCCCACCGATCGAGAACCAACAACACTTTCGCCTTACATACACCCTTTTTGCATCCGGCCAGTAGCGACTCTACCGGGTATATGCCCTGAAGTCTTAAACTTTAGTTCGCTTGGCTGCTGCCGGGACAGCCGTTTCACCTTGTATAATTAGTTTTCTAGCGTTTGATGTCGGTTAGTTTGCTCAGAGGGAGACCAGGGAGGAGAACAAAACTCGGAAGCTCGGCGTATGCAAAAGCCCTCCAAGCCGCAGCTCTAAGAAATTTCGATCGCGCAAGAAGCCTCCAGGGCCTGAGCTCTGGACGTCTTTCTCTGTCGACTTTCGGCGCTCTCTGTCCAATTGAACCTCCAGAAGTTGAATTGCAGGACAGCTTACGTTAAACTACCATAACTTGCTTCGTTGTAGATCGTGATTTCTTATCAGGTTCTGGTACTTAAAGGCTCATGGGACTTAGTAAGTAAGGTTATAAGTAGGTTATTATTAGGATAACCCCACTTAGGGGACGTATCACCCCAATTATAGCCTACTTACTAAGTCCCATGATCCTCTAAGTAGGTTCATGTAGACTTCGAGGTTAACGTATTTGTGTTGGGGGTGCCAAGATCCGGCGGCTTAGCGGCCACGGTGCTTCAGGGCTTTGGGGCTGAGCTGCAGGTTGTGGGGTTCGAGGATGGTTTCTTCCGAAACCCTAACTGGCTTGTAGTTTTGGGGCTCGGAAAAGTATTTATGGATATGTACCTCTATAGGAACCATAAGGGAAATTAAAAAGTTTCCCAAATTGCCACCTATCTAAACTCTGGTATAGCAGACTGGCGGTGAGCACAAGCTGGCTGGCCAAAAGCAAACGTCGCCACAAGCATCCTATGTGCAACTGTTCAGAGCCCCACAGCCACCACGGGCTGAAGGTCCGTGTTGCTGTGAACCCTGAACCTGCGGCTTTGAAACACAGGAATAGGGTTAGTTGTGGTATATTCTACAAGAATTACAGTCAGGAAGCACGGAGAACCTATTCTACTTGTTAAGGCTCCAATATTAGTCTCACAGGCCGTGAGAACTCCATCTTTCTCAGCTCTCTGAGGGCGAGAGAAAGTCAGCCCTCCTCTGACTTCCCGCTGCCGTCCCTCTCCCTGTTTCTCCGTCTTTCTGTCTTTCTGTCTCTCTGTCTGTCTGTCTCTCTCTCTCTCTCTCTCTGTCTCTCTCTCTCTCTCTCTCTCTCTCTCTTTCGCTCTGCTTTCAAACTGTTGGCCAAGACAGCAAGACAGCAAAGAAGGGATGATGCTGGAATGGATGTTTGGTAGGCCGAAAATGGCCGGAAGCTTTACGAACGGAAACTCATCAGCGGGCAACTGGCCCAAAGGCAGACGGCTCCGGAGTTCGGCCGCAATGACTTCCCTCTTTCTTTGTGCCATCACCCATACCAACAATTAAGCCTTACATACTAACTCCAATGATCCTCCAAGCGCCATGCAACCATTCCTGCAAAGTGGGGGTTTTCGGAAATACAGTAGGGGACCCTTCTATAGTGCCCTAAATAGTAGGATCGTTTTTATAAGGACCCCAAAAGAAGGTACCCCAAATTTTCGGTAACTCCCAAGTGTACCTTATTGAGGTCCCGCCTTCAGGCTGTCCTCTTCGTTCACGGAGTCCGTGCTGCATGTGGAGGCTTCGGAATCCACGCCGCTCTGCATGACCGGCAGCAGAAGAGCGGGATTGCTGGAAAATTCGATCCAGGCCCTTCTATTCAACCAAGTGATGGGGTACCAAGGCAGTAACTCTCGCAGCAAGGTGCTCTAAGATGCAGACTTCAATGCTTGGGCAGCACGATAAACAACTCGTCTTGTTCGGGGGCAGGCCGGGCAAAGGCTTGGGCCAGAGTCGAGCAGTTCCAGCAAGAAGTTATGTTGGGTTTGGGTTGGGTACTGCCCCCATACAGTAACAGTCTATAATAGGGCTACTATTAAGGGCCTAACCTATCTGTATTATAAAGATTATGATGCCAGTAAAAGGTAGCAACAGCAGCATGCGGACCTGCAAACAACTTCCAGGATGGACGGCAGATCAACAAACAACTGGATAACTTGCTGATCGAAGAAACACGATCGTGCAGAATTCGCCGCGGATGAAACAAACCAGGACTTAACAGAATCCTGGAAACCGCCACAAGCCTCCGCTATGAAGTTGCCAACGCGAGAGGTTGTCTTCCACAACGAAGCTGTAGCCCCAATGGTTGAACCATGCCAAGCTCTGCGAATACTTCAGCGCACCTTGAGACCCAAGTTTGGAATGATCTGGATCTCTTCTGGAAGGCAACCCTCGTGACGTGAACAAGCCACCGGTGTGCTTGGTCGAGTCAAGACAGCAAACCCATAACACTCCAAAGCCAAACCAACGAATGCAATACTCCTAAGCCCTAAACCCTAAAGCCTTCGCCCCATAAGCTTCCTCGACTCCAAGCAAGACCGGATTGAGCGAGTCAGAGAGTGATCTTTTGAGCCATGCAGTTCGTAGCTCTGACATCTGCAGCATGCGGGGTCAGACAGAACTCTCCCAAAGCACGGATGTTCAATTATTGACCACCTCGGCAGTGCTGTTTGGGGTTACTTGGAGGTTCATGGGTAGTTATAGGTGGATTTTTATCAGGGTAACCATAAATATAAGCCATATTAGGGGCCTTATAACCCTACTAATTATAATCACCCATGAACCTCCAAGTATGAGCTTTCAGAGCTGAGGGTTACTAGCGGAACAAGTTATGGCGTTATGGATTGTCAAGGCTTTCGAAGGTCAAACTTCTATGTCCCTCCAACATGGTCTGAGCCAGACAACTAAGCCCCAGAAGTGCCTGCCCGAAAAAGGCTGTGCCTCAAGCCCGTCTACCCGGGGGATCATGTTATTTCGTAGGTAAGATTATACGTACCTTAGCTAGGGTTCTAAGTTGCTGAGAAGTATAGTCATCCTAACAAAAACCCGAGCTACTCCCGTTTAGAACCCGACCCGAAAGAGACCTCGCGCCTGTTGCCTAGGCGGCCCGAACCCAAATTTGCGACGAGGTGCCGAACCCTAAATTGCCTAGCTTCGGGTTCAGGGTCTCAGGTTTCGGGTTTCGGGCGCTGATACGACCGATCGTTGCGAGTCATACTTGGGGGAGTAAGATTCAAACAAGGAACCCTAATAAAGGGTGCCTACATTAGGCATTTTGGACTCCAAGCTCTCGGATACCACCGGCGCCAGGTATGGGCTGACAAGATTTAGGGTGCAGGGTAATTAATGTATGAACCTGATTAAGTTCAGAAACCTGGGGCCTTTATTAGGGATCCTTGTATGAATCCTACCATTTTGGGGTTATAAGCCCTGGGTTTCTTAATGAGGTTCCTACACTAAGGTTGACAGACGGCCTGGAGATCAAGGCAAGGGGGACTGTGTTCAAGGGCAAAGTCAAGACGGTGGAGCGTAAAAGCCCAAGTAGTAGATGCTAGGCCCCATACCGAAATCTGCGCACACACGGCCTGCCCAGAAACAACGCGTACAAGTGAGATTTTCGGTCTTTTGGAGACAACGGTGTTTTACAGCATTCGGAAAAACTGTGGCCCCAATAGTGTTTATGCTTCGAGCATTTCACGCTGCTGGGTCTTTTGGATTCGGCTGTGTTTAAACCTGCGCATTTGACGGTGTTGGCTTGCCAACGCTTGGGAACCTCGAGCGCAAGAAATCAAACAGGGCTAAAAGGGTTGGGGGTTTGGGTTCAAGGCTTTGGCGGAAGCCAGCCAGAGCACTCCCACGTCGTCGAGTTTTGAGTCTGCCTCAATGAATACTGTCACATTTTTTGAGCTTAGCATACGAGAAGCCTCAGGCTCAGTAACCCCAAGGGTCCAAAGGACACAATGATTAGGTATTCGGTTTTAGGATAGCAGTTATGTAGGATAGGATTTTGAAGAGTATATGATTATTGGGTACTTGGACCCTTGGGGCAATTAATTCAAACTGACCTCACGCTTCGGTGAGGCACGGGTACGGACAGGCACTTCCATGCCAGCGCAGCCAGCGGCAACGATATGAAGGAAAACGCACACGCATTGAACGGCTCTGGCAGGAAATTGACCAGAAGATACCTATACTGAACTTAGAACCCTAGCAAAACTTACAATTTTAGCTGTTTCTTAGGGAATATACTAACCAAAAATTAAAAAATATTTCTAAGTACCCCTTAGATACTCCATCACGAGGAAGAGGCCGAATATGAAGCTCCCGGGCAGTAGGACGAGCAGGGATTTGAGCCAGTCCAAAGGTCGCCAGGAACACTTCCCTTGAAATACCCATCCCAGTCTAAACATAATGCGAAAAACCATGGGAATAACCCCAAGCCAGAGAGCCAAGCCGTTAATGACGATAAGCAGGCTCCACACCAGGTCGTGAGGGGAATCCCTCTGAAAAAAGAGCCGAAGGTGCAATGCCGCCCGATCCAGGCTTACCCAAAATTGAACTGGAGTCGCCTCAGCTAAACGCCAATACGAAATCATATGATTGGACAGTTGATCCAGGAGCAAGTCGTATACCTCGTTCTGGACGTACTCTTCAAAGGCTTCGACGCTCCCGAACCATCTCCTGATGCAGTGAAGGATGATGACGCGGTCGCAGATCATAGGCGTGTCGCTGCCGTCTATTTGGTGATCCGAAGAACAGCAGTAGCACTGAGCCATGGCAATGCGGAAGTGCCCGATTTGCTGGCACATGGTGCTGACGTCGCGGCAATACTCACGACCCAAGTGCGCAATGTACCAGAAACCCAAACCACAGCAGGCCATGCAGATTGACAGGAGGAGGTAGAAGCCTTCACGGTGGACGGAAAGTCTGTAGAAGACAGCATGGAAGGTGAACCCGCCCAGCAGAAATGCAAACCAAGCTGCACAAATGGTAAAACCCAGCATGGTCGGCCTGATCCTGATGTTCGTCTTCCCACCTCGGGGCCTACTGTGAAGGAAGGCGGACAGCTCGAAGATACACCAGAGCCGCCGTGCCCAGGAAGAATCCCAGAGCACCAGCATCTGATCAGAGTTTTTCAGGATGCCGCCCAGGCTAAGAAGCCCTTCTGTCTGTAGTTCAGGGTCCTAGTTCATGGTTGGGACAGGATTACGCATTATTTTTGTTATTCCTTATTGGGTTTAAGTACCCATAAAAATGTAACATGTTACCAACTATGACAAAGGGTCGGTCTGAGAGATGCACACCCGGTCAAGAAATACAAGCTGCTGTGGCTGCCAAACCAGCCTGGCTTGTAGTTTTGGGGCTCTGAAAAGTAATTATGAATAGGTACCTCTATAGGAACCATAAGGGAAATTAAAAAGTTTCCCTAAATGCCACCTAGCAGCATGACCAACGCGTAGGTCACAGAACCAACGCTCAGGCACCACCAGCTGTGGTTCCCGTCGTCCGGAAGAATTGCAAGTCCGAAAGCCACGTAGCAGAAAATTGCTGTTGTCGTGCTCAAAATGGTGGCTGCCGTGCTTTTGTGAAAAAAGAACACAGTGAAGATCTTCCTGCGCATAGAACCGTGCCAGCTGTGCGGCCAGAATGCACCGATGCGGGCAGTCACTTGGCTCAAGTGATAATAGTCACCATGCTGTCTCAGAGGCCTGGCAAAGCCTCGAAATATGTGCTGGACGGGAACGGCCCGGATGATATCTGGTGAGGTGACACGCATTCTGGCCAGGAAGTCGCTGATGAACCGGGTGTTCAACCCAACATCCGGCAGAGCGCCAAGGAGCTCCTCGACGTAGTCCACTTCTGGGGCTCCAGACTGCCTTTCGACATGATCCGGATTTCTCACAGGAGTGGACCCTTCCTGTGGACCTGCCTCATGGTGACGGGCATCGACATCCAGGGCCTCCGGACGTCCCAGTACAGCCGCCGCTGGCTCGGAAGATGCCATTTCACTGCAATGCCCAGAGACTCCAATTTCCCTTAATTAGGGAATATACCTTAAATTACAGTAGGATCCCTAATATGATTTAAGGTATATTCCCTAATTAAGGGAAATTGGAGTCTCTGGGTGCCTACACTTGGGGTTGAACCCACGGGCGTGGAGGCCTTCAAGAGCCGAGAAATATGCATCGAACATGCCTCCATTCCTAGGTTCAGAGTTTAGTAACCCGCATACTTCCTCGATCTTCCAATCCTACGCTCTTCAACGAAACTTCCTGAAATATGCGACCCCAATATCGCCAATATCCCGGCATTAAGGAATATACCTTAAACTATAGTAGGATCCTTAATATGATGTAAGGAATATTCAGTACTTAAGGAATATTGGAGTCTCTGGGCAAATGACCGTTGCCAGTCCCGTGGTGAGCTGCAAGAGGAGTTGCGCAAAATCCTCTCCATCAGGCATAGTTGTTGTTTTTGATTGCCATTCTTACTAAAATAAACTGCTATGTTGCTATGATTGTGATTATTTATAGTAGTAGCAGCAGCAGTAGTAGTACTAGTCATATTCTTAGCACTATTCAATTCTTGTTGTATTGTTAGTTTGCTTGATTTCGGGCTGTTGGCTCTGGGCTAGCCTTGAACATAGGCTTCAAGACGCTGAGGGTCCCGAAATTATTTCCAAACAAGACTTGAAGGTCTAGTTAAGTCAAGTGGTTAAGGGTTAAAAGGCTTTGAGGATAATTAAGCTTAAGGCTTTGCCGGCATTACAGGTGCTGCGATGGAATCTCTGCGGTATGAGGGGACTGCCCCGAAGAGCCTGAGATTCGTGGGCAAGATCATGCTGAACCATGCCAGGGTCCGGCTTTTTCTTGGTTTCTTGCCACATTATCAAGGTCGAGTCTCTCTAATCAAAAACCAAGCCGCCTATGTCATTGAGTAAAGGATTTATCTTAGGGTTGCTTGTATTCTGAAACTCCCGCAATCAGACGAACAATCTTGCTAGCGGGGTGGAAATTTAAACGTCTGAAGAGTTAACACCTAATGTTGCCCTAAAGCCTGGACCGAATCCTAAACCTTAGGCTATCCTACCCACGAAGATGCATGCATCTGCACCTCCATAGCAGCCAGAACAAGGAATGCACATGCGTATAGATGGTGCCGCGTCGCCGCGTCGCAGGCCCCCCCCCCCCCCACCCCCCATGGTATGCCCCCCCCCCCCTTGCCCAGGCCAGGCCTCTCGTCCCAGCAAATAGTCATCCACGCAACTCCCCCCCAAAACATACCTCTCCTTAGCAAACGGGGAGAGCGGGAGGGGTAACCAACAATCCATAGAACCACAAGACAGAGAACCACAGGGCCCCTTCCCCTTCCCCTCCCCTTCGACATACAGATGAGAATGATGGCGATGATGTTGTGCCCAATGATGTTGATGTGCTATTTCCAGTGTGGCTGTTGGTGGTACCTTTGCTTTTGTGTTGCTCTGGGCTTCGGCACCGCATGCTCATTGCTTATTTTAGTGTGAAATTCGTGCTTGGCTTGTGATGTTCTTGCGAAAACTGTATCGACCGTTGTCATTCCAGGCCAAATTGCGGTTGGGTTCGTTAAAAGTAAGTTTGAGCACGAATTTGAATGATTTTCATTCGGGACTCTTGAGCAAGGGACCGGAGGAGAGTGCGGATGGGGATCATGACCAGCATCTTGGTGGTCATTATCATAACCAGAATATTCATCTCTGTCATTGGCTTTGGAGCTCAGGGCAGGTCGGAGTCCAGTCGAACTGTATCACATCCTAAGGCCAAAACCCTTAGCAGCCGGACGCCCAACCAGCAATAGCCATGGAAGGGGGCACAGCTGACCGCAGCCACAGGGGGGAAGGGGAGGGGGGAGCCCACACCACAGCGAACCACAGGGGGGGGAGGGGGGATACCATGGGGTGGGGGGGGAGGGGGGGCCTAGCAGCGCTGCACCATAGATGAGTAGGTGTCCGTGTGCTTGCATACCACTATCTATCTGCTGAATACAACTGCGTTCAGTTTAATGTTGTATGCGGCAATTGCTTCTTTATCCCTTGTACATGCATGCGCACTTATGTGTAGAGGCCTACGTTTATATTCATGTTCAGTGTTATCGACGGTCTGGACTTGTTGGCTTATTTCTGTAGTGGTTCGTTCAAACCGTACCTCAGTTTAACTCCCATAGGTTTAAGATACTTAGGATTACACAACTCTCTGTCCATCAGAAGTACGCCCTTCACTTCTTCCTGCATCCTAAGCCCGCCTATAAAGTCCTCTTTCAACTCCCGAACCTTGTAAGGTCCCAGTCAGGGTCTAATTACGCATGCCGCGGGATTTTGATCGCCAAAAGCCCTTCTTCTCTCTGTCTCGCTCACTCTCTTTCTATTTCTCTGTGTCCCTGAATTTCTCTGGCTCTCTCCCTCAATATCTCTCTCTGTCTCTCTTTCTTTCCTCTGGCTCCCTCTCGCTCTCGCAGAAGATGAAGCCTGAATGGATGCTTGCATAGCCTAAGGCTTTACAGCCCGAAAATTCTGGCCTGTCCCCGTCACGCCTTCCCTTCATGCGGTCCTCTTCGCTGAAAGAACCCGTGCTGCACGTGAAGGCTTCGGAATCCACGCCACTCTGCATGGGACCGCTAGTCAATTCCGCCCAAGTCCTTCTAGTCAACCAGCTGATTGTACTCTCCCCTTAAAACCTGATTTCGATGTATCGGCATCACCCTAACAAAAAACAAGTCATCTTGTTTCGGGGCAGGCCGGGCAATGTCTCGTGCGGCAGCGGAGCAGACACTGCACAGAGTCCTGTTGGGCTTAGGCTTCCACGGTCGTAAAGATTTGAGTTTTGCGAAGAGGCGAGACCTTTCTTAATTCTGCATGTCTTCATAGACACCGAAATGAAAATGCTTAGCGATTAGCACATTCCCGGCCACGGCCACAAGCCTCTCTGATGACCTTCTTTAGGGGCCTTAGCAACAAGAATAGGGCTTTAAGGTCGGGTACGGTAGTATGGTATAGGTATACTGAGGAACTCCAAAATTGAAACTGTTTCAATTTCGGCCCCCCTCTAGCATTGCGAGACCCTTGTTTCGACAGCTTGGAGGCCGAGACTCTTGCCCAAATGATTGAACCCGAATCGACGCAGACTGCATAGCTTCACTCCCTCTAAACTAAACCCTACTCCCCGTAGAATTTCACAAGCATCTACAAAACCCTACCCCCCATAGATCCCACAAGCACCTTGTTGTATTGAGTTCGGAAATCTCCTAGCCTTGGGTCGGCCATGGTCGGTCCCTCTTCCACACCGAAACAACACTGCACTTGACGAAGCTCTGTACGAAACCATGCCCACCCCCAATCTAGGGTCACTGCTGCATGGTGACCTATACCATAAAGAGATTATATCCACTGAGACTCGAGGATGCAAGAGAGAAGTGAGCAATGCTTACCTTAACCCGGAATAACCTACCTTTTTAAGGACATATACAAGGAAATCATAATAAGGAACCCCCTACAAAAGGTAGGTTATTCGGTCTTAAATCTTAAGATAAGGCCCGCCAGACTACCAAAGCTTGAAATGATCTGGACCTCTTTGCTGTTGTACCTGGCTCCAACCAACGAACACAGTGCCGCCACATCCGGCCTAGAAGCCTCCGCAGTTCCACTAGGCGGAGCTGAATGCACGAATCAGAGAATCTTGTTTTTCAGCCCTGCAATCTGCAGCCCTGACAGCTGCCAGCAGCATTGGGGGGTGAGACAGGACTTCCCAAAGCACGTATGTTTGCTGGTTTACCACCGGTGCAGTGCTATTTAGCATTGGGGCCTGTGGGCTCAGGGCTAGGCAATGTTCGCGGCTTCGGGCTAGGGATCGTATACGTCGTTCCAAAGCAGTCAGAGCCAGGCGACTCGCCCCCGGAAATTCCTACGCGATAGGACAGCTCTGCCCCGAGCGTGCTTTGCAACGTGTAAGCCTAATTTGGAGCCTACACCGCCTACAGGCCCTATAGACCGTAAACCTCAAACCCTAAACTCCAAACCCTAAACCCTAAACTCCAAACCCCTACACAACCCGCTTCAACTTTCAATCCCACGCGAAAACGTCGAACTATTGATCCAAGAGAGGGCCAAAGACTAATAAAGGGGCCTTAGCAATTAGAATAGGGTTCCTGTAAAGCGGACGATAAGGGCTATTGCGAAGGATCTATAGTAAGGGATCTTTTCTATAGGGGCCTTAATAATTAGAATGCGGTTTTGGGGCCCATTATACTATAGTTATAATGAGGAACCCCCAAAATAGTATAGGTAATTTAGCCCCCGCAGAGTATCTGAGTCATCAGGCTGAGGCCAAACTCCAAAAAGCAACACTACGTGCGGTTGGAAAACAGAACACTAAACCCTCATCCCTAAGCCCTATAAACTCTGGAGGGACGACTCTAACCCAAACTTGCCCGGTTTAGGGTTTCGGGTCTAGGCTTTTCGGGTCTGCAGTTTCAGGGTTTAGTAGGGCGGCTTCGGAGGTTTTGGGTTTTGGACTTTGGGCTTTGCGCGGTTGAGGGTCCAGGGGGGTTTAACTCTCTTAGATATTCAATTAAGGTTTGGGCGGCTTAGGGTTGAGGCGCTAAGCCTTAAACCCTAAACCCCGCCCTAAACGTTTAGGGTTTAGGGCTTCGTGCTCGGGGTTTCAAAGGCTGGTCGGACTCAGCTTCGAACACACGGCCAAAGGAGTCGAGTGAGCTCCCCCAAATAGGGAGCCCCATGCGGGGAGAAGTGAGGCCATGACTGACACGACCTTCGAGGAAAGGGAAACCCTGCGATTCGGCATTATTAAGTCTCTGGGGTTTCGGGTGTACTGTCTGTTTTTTTGTTTTTGCTTCGTGGCACAGGAGCTTTTGGGTTAAGGTTTGGGGCCTGTTTTAGATTTGAGGTTGCGGATGCGAGATTTCGGTGGTTTCGGGCTTCTGTCTTTATGGGTGAAGGCTTTCGTCGATTTTCGG